CCCCTCCCATGGTCCATGGTCCAGGATGCCCCCTTCCCCCCTGTGGGTGGGGTGGGGTTTAGCTTAAGCTTTTGAGTTTGGGGTTTAGCGTTGAAGGTTAAAAGTTAGAAGGCTTCGAGTCGACAAGAGCTTAGGGAAGGTTTGGGGTGTAGGTTGGTTAGGGTGACGGTTTATGGTGTGCTTCAATCTTAGAGCCTGCGTTTAGTCGGGGTTTAGTGTCGGGTGTAAGGTTTTAAGTATTAAGTAAAGGTTAAGGTTAGAGAAAACAGGAACACGCCCTACGTTATAGGNNNGGGAACGCCGGACGCCTGACCATATATGTTTCTAAACTATCAATCGGGAGGCTGGAATTCAGGGATCTGTCTTAGCTTTAGCTCTAGTATGTGCGATCGTCATACTGTTTTGATTCGTGTGTTTGCGAATCTGAACTTATCATAAACTATCGTGGTAGAAGGACCACCCCGCAAGCCTGTTGATATGAAATATCATACCTTGCCCGAGCCTTTCTCTGGAAAAGTCGGATTCAGTACTTCTGTTTTTTCCCATTATTTTCATGCTGTTCAGTATATTCATTTTTTTTGTATTGTTTCATCATAGTATTGATTTTATGTGATGTTGATGTTGGGAAGTAATCGGGATCATGGTGGGAGGATCTTGAGAGTTGGCAGGGAACTTGTTGGGATCCCTGCTGTTGGGCGCTCGTCCCACGAGACTACCTCCCAACTGCCCAAATTCCCCGAAAATCACTGCCTCCTCCGTGTACCCGGTTCGTAAGTAACCCTTGAGCATCATCTTATCATACTCTCAGGGCCGGGAATCCGGGAGCAACTGGCAACGTGCCCCCAAAATGGCAACAGACGACGACACATCATCCCTTCGTCAACGACAATATTGATCGGAACGACCTCTATGCCCACCATCGCTGCATGCCATAGACGGGCGAGCACAAAGACAGCCTCGCGCGTAGAATGTGTGTGTGTGTGTGTGTGCACCGCCGTTCTAAGCCAGGGGTTGAAGAAGCTGTTGGTAAGACGCTGGTGACTTCACTTTGATAGAACGTCTTGAGCAGTTGCAGATACGATGTCAGTTATCTTGGAGGGGCTGAGGGTCGTTTGCGCCCCAGCCAACTAAGCTCTGCTCGTGTAAACGTACCTGCACGGTGCAAAATGGTGCGCGGTGGCCACGTCTAGCGCCAGCTTCGATTATTCCGTTCGTTCTTCGTGTCGAGTGGCAAGGTTGCGGCCATCTGAACTTCTTCCCGCGGTATGGCAAGTGTGGCAACACACGCCAAGCAGCTAAGAGTACTCCGTGCGTGCGTGAGAGGATGACAGTGAGAGTGGTGACAACGATGCTGATTCTGGTGTTGATGATGTGCACCAGCACGATGTGGTTCCTGTCGAAACCTTTGTGATGGCAATTCCGGTCATCTGAGAAGTTGAAGGGTCTTTTGTGTTGTATGTGTTGTTGAACCTGCTCGGCTGGACGGCAACCGCCAGTGACCAAACCACTTGTAATCTAGTGAGTTTAATTGCATCACAGGAAATCGTAGGAATGCGAATTGACTAGTGGAACTTTCCAGTGCACCCAGGTTGGCTGTGAACTTCGGCAGCGTTGCCTGGCAAGCACTTCCAAGCGGGTGCCGCTCCAAGTTGCGTGTAAAGGCATCTAATGGCCATGGCTTTAGTGCTTTCGATGTCAGCATTCCAAGCGAGCATAGTTCTTTTCTTGCCAGCCTGAGTGGTATGGTACCTCAAGATTATGCTTCCAGGACATTTTCCATGTTAGCAAGTTGTTGTTATCCACCCCCGCGGATTGCGTCTTGGTGTCGTCATGGCATTATGTTGTGATGCTTTCTGTTCGACAGCTTGTAGCTGCCCAACATCCGATCCTTGCTGAGCGTGTTGTCGTTCCATGCAGCATGTTTCCGGAGGTGAACTAGATGTCGAGATCTTGCCCAGTTTGCACCCGCAGTAGATCTGGTCGATACAGCTGCATGTGGCCAACAACTGCTTCTGCATCCGCAGTTCAAATTCGATACGATCTTGCATTGCTTCTCAATGTCGCTTTAGCTCACAGTTGTTACAAACATTAAGTCCACGTTAAAGATCGGCCTTGCTTGCGCGCAATAGATGCTTTCACATTTCTGAGCAGCTTGAGAGACATTCGTCAAGTGCATTTAGATGTTCGTTTGGTTCTTCGTGTTGGATGTCCATGAGGGCCTGAGGGTGCTCCTTTACACGCGTGGGACATCCTTTGGCAGGCCCAAATATCCCCAAGCCCCAGGTTCTGTGGAAATAACTATGCAGGTAATTAGTGAACTCGACGGATTCTTTTCGCCAGCATCTTCTTGGCTATTCATTGCCGGCTTTCCAAAAAGCAATTACTGGAAACCAATAGTCAGGAACATGATGACAGATATGGAACCATCTGAAAACTCTGCGGATCTGAGCATGTTCCTGTTCAAAGAGGTGTATATATCTTCGCAGTTTCCTTTTTTCGAAATCTCATTTAAGCCCCTGATTCTGGTGTTCGTCTGTTGGAGCACCCTTGGTTGTCAGTGTCACAAACATCAGTCTGTGCTGAAGATCAAGAGGGGACCTGTGCATGATAGATAGCCTGCTTTTGCTGAGTTGATTGCCGCAGAGATTTTTAAAAGGACAACTCCCCCGAGCCAATTCAAACCATGTTGGGCGCTGGCGAAACGAATTTTGTTCTGAGCGCAGGAAAGTCTCGGGTTTCGAGGGATGTTTTGCTTTGCTCCTCAAACTCCTGTAGTGTGAAGAGATCAAATCAAGGTAGCAACCAAGCACTTTTTTCTTATGAGATGGAAAGATTCGCTATGCGCTGAGACACGTTTCACCCCTAAGCATTCAGGCTCATCAGCCTGAGCCCAAACACCGACAATACAGCCACCCTCCACTGTAAAAGCGATGCCGTATCAGACTGACATACAACACTCACGTACAAAGATCATGTTTTTGCTGTTTGTACGTTAGTTAGGTTAGTGTTGTATGTCTTTCTTCAGGTTGTTGCAGTCTGAACTTTGCCGTTCGTGCTTGCCTTCAACTCGAATGCCGCCCTGGCCGTTTCGAGTGCTTTTCTTCTGAGGCCTTGTTTGCCGGCGTTGGAGCTTCTCACTGTTGGCCCCAAGCACTGGGAAGCAACCTTGTTACTTGCATCATCGGAAGCCTTGGTAGCGAGGTGCAGGATATTCGGGGCCATGCTCGAGAAAGATCATGCTCGTAGCAGCCAGAGCCCCAGAATCCGGAAGATGCCTCCGACAGGCCGTATCTTGAGGGATTGCCACAGAGTGACAGAGGGATATCTCCAGTCATACGTTCACATCGTGTTTTTGCTGCCCTGCCTCAGGCTTTAAGGCCCTGCAAGTCCGATGTCCCAAAAGCCATAGGCCGAACTCCCACACAGAAGTTTCGAGCCCGGAGACTCGCCGAAGATTCACAGGCTTCTCCGCTGTCCCGGCTACATAGCCATGACAACGCCTGAGTCTGTCAAGGCCAACGACATGTGAAAGATTCCGGAGCCCCAAACCGAGCAAACCACCTTACTGCAATCCGTCCAATCTCAAAGAACAAACTAAACATACTGTAGCGTGTTGGATTCGTACCAGCACCGAACTCTCCAAGCCTGAACGCACGGACCACGAGTTTGTCGAGCTTTCGTTTTGCGAGTGAGCGTGTTCGGGCTAGTCCAATGGATGTTGAGCTTCAGGAAAAGGAGAAGCATAGCATCACCAGTAAGGGGCGAAAGTGTGCAAAGGATTGTTCAAAGGTTGAAAGCCACCCTGTGCCGGGACCATTCTACCTAAATGAAACTGTAGGTCTAATCTTGCATGGCAGGAGTCGCAAGCTTGTGGCAAAATCGGCTTATATTGCTGACTGACGACTGCACCCAACGCCACGCCACCACTGAACAAGGCTGCTCATGTGCTGTTGTCATGCACATAATTGCATTGTTTTTAGCTCTTTGTTTACGGCAAAATTTGCTGTCTGTGCCGATATGAACTGTTGGAGGCTAAGTGTAAGACATCACATCAGTGTTATCGAATCAGGAGCCAGTAGTGTTATGAGCAGCAGCAGCAGTTAGCAGCAGCAGTAGCAGCAGCAGCAGCAGCAGCAGCAGCAGCAGCAGCAGCAGCAGCAGCAGCAGCAACAGCAGCAGCAGCACCATGATTCTTGCGCCGGTGTGGACATGCCGCACGCTCTGATCGCATTGCGACCAGCTCCATGACATCGGAGACGAAGGACGCGGACCTCCCTTCTTGGATTCATAATATTCTTCCAGGGGGGCGGCGAGGATGAACAAGTTCTGTCTTGTCCCGTCATGTAGCATGTGTCGGGCATCGTCGGATTTCGTGAGTCGAAGAACTTGCTTAGCTCGCCTGCACCGCGTGGCAACTCCATGAAAGCTCGAGACTGCATCCAACAGTGAACGGCTCTGCATTGAACCACCGACACTTGCACAGCTGCTTCCCAGTAGAGACTGCATGCTGCATGCTGAGCAGATAAGCCAGGCAGAGACGTCATTTTATATTTCACACGCTCGAGCAGTGAAGCTCCCAAGCCAGCTCTTCCAGGAGCGGCTTCAGACCCCGGTAGATCTGCCGGAAGTCAAGCGGCGACGGCAGCGGGTCTGATTACGATCTCTGCACTTTCTTGCCTGGACCTAGCTCTTTCTCTTTCTCTCTCGCCCTCTCTCAAGAGCTCTCTCTGTTAGTCTATCCGAAGCCGCATGTCTCGCCAACGTCAGGACATGTTGCAGCATGTCATGTAGTTTCCTCGAAATCCTTGCCCTCATCTTGCTGAGTCCAAGGCTCCTCGCCGTCACTTCATCGCCCCGACTGGCCCCTGCGTCTCCGGCACCCAGCGCGTACAGCGATGGAGCCGCCCGGACGGTGCTTGAGGTTTGGTGATGTGTTGGATGCCGCAATAGCACGTCCTGCCTTGTCAAAGCCCGTATTACCGAGGATATTTTGGAGTGGTGGACTCCAGGGCAACTGCACACCGACTCTCCAATCCGCCTCGCCCTTCACGAGATGCGGACGCATCTCAGCTACGGACATGAGATACGCACAGAGGGGCGGCAGAGGGGGGCACTCACCAAATGTTGGTGTGAGTACAGCACGATTGATTCGAGCCTTTGGGCAGTCGATGGAGCCTACGTCCTAGAGAGGCAGTTTTCGCTCCAGTGTATCTCAGCAGATCCCGAACAGACTTTACCTTGCGTGCGAGGTACCTAGCCGACTGGCAGGCTTCGACTAAAGACGTCTTCTGGCAGCGCAAGTCCAACAAAGCCGTGCTCTCCATCTTGCTCTGCCGCAGTCGCTCGGTCTGCCGCAGCCATACTATCTCACGCCATAGCGTGAGTATAGTCAAAGCCGTATGTCTATCTTAAGATGGGCATTTCCTGATGATCAAGTGAAATTTCACCTTTGGGATTCCAAATTTCTGTGAAGCCTGACGTGCCACTGAAGGCGAGAGTGGAGATTGGTGTACATACCACGGGATGAACACAGAGGTGCGGCAGCTGGAAAGATTGCACTTACTCATCGCACCGGTTGCACTCGGGGTTGTGTTCTGCTTCGAGCAGACAGGGCATGCTGCTACTAGGAACAACGCTGGAGGGGCATCGATTAATGCTGCAGCTTTACGGTTCTAGCACCTGTGTGGTTGCTGAACTAAGAATCGTGACGGTAGGCCCGAAGTGCCGAAGTGCGCCCAGTCGCCGCAGTTGCACATCTAGATGCATTTAGTCTGTTTTGATAGAATAAGAAACCTGTAGTTTTGGAGTCATGCTCGCGACTTGCGTTGAACCCCTCAAGTTGCAGTGAGTTTAGTCATGCCTGGCCGGGCCGGAGTAGCTGCTTATCCCGGCCTTGTGCTATGTGCTGTCTAGCTCGCGATTGCCTCAGGTCAGCCTTCCGTCAGGATCCGTTTGTGCCGAGCGGGCTGCTATAGTCAGCAGCTAGGCAGCAGGGGTTCTGGCTCGATCGACAGATGGCATCGAAAGGGGTACCGAATCACTGGATTAAGGGGCCGCCAGCGACTTCCGCCACGTGACTCCAGCGGCAAAAGGCATTCTTTCGGTGTTTCTGTTCCACATTGATGAGCGCCTGTCAGCCATTAACAGGCTTCAAGACTTTCACGGGATTGCTTTGCTAGGGCAGCTTGCGGGGTGCGGTAGGACGGCTGAAAATTGAAAGGACAGGACGTTCAAGTCGCAGTCGTTAGGCAGGCCAGGACAGTTCTTTATACAAATACCAAGACAACGATGGGATTTCTGGTAGCGAGATTCTTGTGTACGAAGATCAAGGCGAAAGATATTGTCCTCATTGCCACGCTGGACCCTGCCGATGCTCGCCAGAATACTCGCAACTGCTTTGCTTTCGAATGCTGTTTGGGGGGTCCTAGCCAACAGAGAAGCTGCTAAAACACCAAGGACAAGCTGAACCCACTCTGGCCATGTGAGGCGCGCTTGACCAGCTTGACGTGCTCGGGGGTCCGTTTTGTTTGTCCAGGTACTGTTTGTCTCCACATGCCCGAGCCCGCAAATCTTTGACTATCCCTTAGTCCATTTAGCGCTCCGAAAGACACCCGGGGGGCAAACTCCAAAGGTGTGCCAGAGCTGGCTCAGCAAGCTGCGGCAAGAGCATCCCAGGCTGCATTGGAACCATAGCAGTGACGCGGTGATGAGGGTTGGTTCAATGTAGCAATGTAGCATCTTGGGCACGGGGTTGGAACTGTAAGGGCGCTTAAGCATTAATTGCCTTTCGAGCTCCTGCGGAGTGCACCAGATCTGTGTGGAATACACTCGTCACCAAGCTCGTTGATGCAGCAAGGAATCCGAACATGATGGTTCTCGCTTTTGCCTCCCTCGAGTGCCACCGCTTCGCCATTCGCACCTTGGGCCGGAGTTCGAGGCATCCAACCCGCGGCGGCAGTACGTGGCAGTGCATGCACGGATCCAACAGCAACGAAGGGTTCGAAATCGAGGCGTCCTTTCTTGCAGGCCCCTGCTGCTAGCAGCCCGTTTATTCAAGAATTGCAGGAGAGTCACAAAACATTATAGTTTGACTTTTCGTGAGACGTATGTCCAGCCCCCTGCCTCTGTAGACAGTCTGTAGATCCGCTATCTCTGCGTCTCTCTCTCTCTCTCTCTCTCTCCCTCCCTGTGTCTCTGTCTCTACCTGTGTATCTGTATCTATCTGTATCTATCTATCTATCTATCTATCTATCGATCTATCGATCTATGGATCTATCGATCTATCCATCTATCTATCGATCTATCTATCTATCTAGCTATCTACCTATCTCTATGTACGTATATCTACCTATCTAGTCATCTATCATGCTATTCTATCTAGAAGTACGTGAGGCTGGTTCTACCCAGTCTTGTATCATGTGGAACATCATGTTGGGACGTCCTGCATGAAAAGCCACGCAGTAATTCGCAAAGTGACTAGTGCAGTATGTCTGATGCGTTACACATGCTGCATTGCTGCTGCATCGTTTTTTGTTTCACCACGGAGTATCCACGGCATGGTTCCCATTGCAGATGAGACATACCCCACAACATGTGTGCTTCGCCATCCGTCATGTGATTAATACGCAGCATGTACATATGTATGTATGTATGT